CCCCAAAACCCCAAAACCCCAAAACCCCAAAACCCCTTTCTGTAGTACAAATTGATTTAAATATTTGTAAGCTATAAAATTATTAAAGATGAGTTCATTACAGTTTTTGAACGAGAGAGCAGACATTATTAAGAAAGCCCAAGCCCTAGCTGTTAATACCAATGCAGCCAAGGGTCTCCAGGAGGTACTCAAGTCTAATCTTGGTCCAAAGGGGACTATTAAGATGCTTGTAGGAGGTGCTGGACAAGTTAAGTTGACCAAAGACGGATCCACTCTTTTGGGGGAAATGCAAATCCAACATCCTACTGCTGCTATGATCGGTAGAGCTGCTAATGCTCAAGATGATATTGTTGGTGATGGTACTACCACTAATGTTCTCTTCATTGGAGAGCTCATGAGAAAGGCTGAGGCTTATCTATCCGAAGGAGTTCATCCAAGAATCTTAGTCGATGGTATCGAGAGCGCTAAAATCGAGACACTCAAATTCTTGGAAGAGTTCAAGGAAGAGAGGAAGATTGACAGAGACTTATTGATCGATATTGCTAAGGCTTCTCTTGAGACCAAGATCCACCCTAAACTTGCTGAACAGATGGCTTCTATCGTGTCAGATGCTGTTATGACCATCCAGAAGGAAGATAACATCGATCTTCACATGGTCGAAATTCTTCACATGAAGCATAAGATGAGCACTGATACCAAACTCATTAAAGGACTTGTGCTCGATCATGGAGCTAGACATGACGACATGCCAAAGAAGTTGACCAACTGCTACATCTTGACCTGTAATGTCTCCCTCGAGTATGAAAAGACTGACGTCCACTCTGGATTCTTCTGGAGTAGCGCCGAGCAGAGAGAGAAGTTAATTGCCTCTGAGAGAACATTCACTAACGATAAGGTCGAGAAGATCCTCGAGCTCAAGAGAAAGGTTTGCGATGGAACTGACAAGTCCTTTGTTGTCATCAACCAGAAGGGAATTGACCCAGAATCTTTAGATATGATGGCCAAGGAAGGAATTATTGGTATCAGAAGAGCTAAGAGAAGAAACATGGAGAGACTTACCCTTGCTTGTGGAGGTCATGCCATGAACTCTGTTGATGATCTTACTGAGGAAGACCTTGGATTCGCCAAGCTTGTCTATGAACAGACTATTGGTGAGGACAAGTTCACTTTTGTTGAAGGTGTAGAGAACCCATTCTCCTGTACAATCTTGATTAAGGGTCCAAATGACCACTCCATTGCACAGATTAAGGGAGCTATCAGAGACGGTCTTAGATCAGTTAAAAACTGTATTCACGATCAAGCTGTTGTTCCAGGAGCTGGTGCTTTCGAGATTGCTGCTTCTGAGCACTTGAGAGAGCATCAAAAGACTGTTCATGGAAAGGCTAAATTCGGAGTCGAAGTCTTCGCTGACGCTTTGCTTACTATCCCCAAGACATTAGCCGATAACGGTGGGTATGACTCCCAAGAAGTTATTCTCGATTGTGTTGACAAATACAACGAGACAAAGAAGCCATTCGGTATTGATTTGAACACAGGAAAGCCATCACCAAGTAACGTGACGAATGTATATGACAATTACTGTGTGAAGAGACAATTCTTGAACATCTCGCCAATCCTGTCCCAGCAGTTGCTCCTTGTCGATGAAGTCATGCGTGCAGGAAAGAGAATGAGAGCTGAAGAGGAATAAGAGCTCTATTAATTCTATCTAATTATATAGCCACATTTTCTACAGTGGGATCTGGCAGAGGGGTTTTGGGGTTTTGGGGTTTTGGGGTTTTGGGGTTTTGGGGTTTTGGGGTTTTGGGG